CATACGACTCGCTCTTCTACAGTCTAAAGGTAATTCTTTCTTTCTGTTACTTATTGTTTTCAGTGAGTGACTGATTGAGGACTTTCTCTCAGGTATGAGGACATCGGCTTATTGGGATTCGAGACTTTCATTAACCGATTAAATACACCTCTATCTTTCTGATAATTTGTATTTCAAATGTATACAAAGTGCTATGTTTTCGACAATCGGCAACGAACAGCCCCAATAAGAAAGTTGGCTGACACTTCATTTGAACTAGCCGTGCTATAGGAAGCTCAAGAGAAGTGTTTCCGAAAAATCACTCAAATGGCAAATGAAAGTCTCCATCCCAGATTCGAACAAGCATTATTTCTTGACAGATCATATGTACTGGAAAAACTAACCGTGCAACACAGTCCATTAAGTAAAGTGACCCGACAGAAATATGACATGTATAATACTACTACTACTGGGATTAAGTAGCACAATCACTCATTATGCACATCTGTCCCCAACAAAACCATCGTATCATGTCAATTTACAGTTTTCGCTATAGCAGCTTGAAGCACTCTTCATCAAAGAGCCATTTTCTCACCCTATTAAAATTATACTCATAGCAGTATATATTCCTTTACAGTCCTATTCCCGCGTGAATTTGCTTATGAATTATCCGTTTGTTATTACTCGAGATGGTTATCCCACCTATCTTAATTATCAATATTAATACATAATTTGAGAAGCAACAGGCACCAAGAATACTCTGAAAATTGAAAGTTGAATTCATGATGTGAACTAATTTGAGAAGAGTATTAAAAAAGCAATCACAATTTGGGAAGATGCAAGTACTTAGTATCTCCTCTCCGCATTTCTATTAATTCTTCAAGGTAATTAACCGTATTATCTTCAACTGGTAGCTTCAAATGAGTGAAAATATAGTAGAGAGTGCAAAGACTTGATTAAGAAATATTTGAACAGTAACGAAGTGTTGGGAGTAATGGATACAATGTGCTCATCAGACGAAACGTCCATTTTATCTCAACGTTACTGTATAGCTTAAAGCGAAGAAAGAACTATGCAATATTAGCATCCAAAATATTTATCCTTATGGTTTTCTGACGACATATTAATTTTCCTTTTACTTTTCTAAAGTCTTACAAATGAAAGACATGAGTAATGTAAAATAATGGAAGAGTACCCTTCATTTTCCGCAAGTTTAGGAATGGATGTCTACGTGAATGCTTTACTCAACTGCAAAAACATCAATAAAAATTCTGGAAACAGGACTAATGCCATTGAAAAATAATGAAGTTCGACGCATCCGTTCTATCTTAAGGTGTGGAATTTATTGCTAACCGGTAATCAAGAGAACAGACAACAGATCATTATTCTTCCTGGCAAGAAGAAATCATGATGGCCATAGGTCAACATTACTTTGGGAAAATTAATGGATGTGAAAACGAGCACTGAGAAGTTAATCCTGAAAAGATTCTATTTCAATATTTTTTAAAAAAATATTGAGTGGCGAGAAATTGTACTCACATTGGCACTAGCACAAGTCCGCTGATCCAAATAAAACTGGTGGAGTGAGATTGCTGTTGACCAAATTGTTTTGCACAAAAAGTTAGTGTCGCAATAGAAAGCATGCACTTGTACAGCAGAAGATGCAACTGATCGTCTGGATACAGACACTCTAAAAACAGCTCAATCATTCCCGGAAGCAAGCATATCGCAAACTAATGTCCCTATTTACCTTTATAATTGAAACGTGAGTAGTGACACACATTCTTTGGAATTTAGAAAAAAATGAAATTATGATTCTATCACCGAAAGTGATAGATGCATTTCAAGGTATGTAGCGATTGCTGAAAGTGATCGCCACATACCTTGAATCAAAAGATTCACTGCCGTTTTCTCAAAATGAAACTTACTGAGTTGTGGGATCTCTTACAGCTTCTGTGAGCTCATCATCTGAATCCAAATAACCCGTACTATCCAAAATACTGTTTGCATTGCCAGATGATTGAATAACTCTGAAAATCTCCCAAATTGTCAGTAAAAACGCACCACTCTTTATTTTCAAGGTACATAAAGGTCATTTTTCTAGCACTACAATAGTAGTAGAAACTATTATTTCGATATGTTTCAAGCAGCAATAACTTTTCATTTAACAAAAGTTTCTTTATATCAAATAACTAAAATTAGCTAGATTCTTCGTAAGAAAAACCCATAAATAATAAAATGCATAAGCAAAATAATACATACTATAGAAACTAACCGTGTATTCCGTACTTCGATTGAGAATTTCCGATCCCGATAATAGAGATTGTCCAACAGAGACCAGTTGAAAATCTGAAACCAAATCAGCAAAAGTGTAGTCGAAAAGCGAGAAAGCATCTATTTGGGCAGTGATTTTCACTGCATACATTTGTCATGCTTTTTATGAAATTAAGAATGCATCATATCAATATGCGCACCAAAGTAGATGTAATATTCTAAGTTTACTCTTCGCGCATTTCAATGAACAATTAAGAAGTTAATGACGAAGTAGTAGAGCGGAGTGCAAAAACGCCAACTGTAAATTAGTGATAAGTAAGTAAAGAACTTTTTTCGGTTTGGAGATATCAGCTGGGTCATACTGAAATATCCCCTTGTTGTTGATACCAACAGTCCACGGCTGACCAGCTTTGTCCCGCACTTGATAAAAGTGGCATCCATGAGTTGAAGATCTTTCAGCAGTTTGTAAAAAGCTGCAAATGGCACTGCTTATTCATTCATGCATATATATCAAACTGCATTATCCGTTTATATGAAATGCAAATTACCAAAGAGTGGATAAAAAAATGAATACTTTAGAATTGCAACTCCTTTGGGTACGCCACTGAGATCCTTGTACAATTCGATCACATTCTTTTCAACATCCTCTAATGATACATCGTACGTGTGCAGCACCTCATTTGGAATTGGTACAAGCTCCGTTAGTATAGATCGTGCCTTTTCATCACTGAAAATAAAATATTATTAGATCAATTGCGCTTTTTTAACTGTTATTTTCATCTGAGAGTTGTTCAGTAAGCAAATAATGCTCGCTGTTCACTGGTCACTGCTGAAATCGCTTCACTTTGTGTCAATAATTTATAATCCAAGTACGATCCTGATAAAATGATGTCTTTTAAAGAAACATTACATCCTGTGCTACAGTATGGTATTTAAACACTACCTTACATAATTGCCACAATATATTTGTAAGAAGCTGGATGCAATTTTATAATATTCCAGATCAGTGAATTCCAGTAAACCCTGGAAATGTTTTACTGTATCTTACGCATAAACATCCCAAAGCAGAAATAAACAAAGTTATTTTGATCTCTACTTAATAGTTTCGGCTAAAAAATTTGCTCAGCAATGGAAATGTAGAAGCAACAGTATGGAAATAAATTACCTTTAATAATCGCTTGGCTGTCTCCAAAAAATAGAGCTCAATAGCCGATGGATGACACAAGGTGAGTACTGAATCAACGAAGAACCTAAAAATGAATAGATGAAATGTTGAAAAAGTGTAAAAAGTATCACTTTTGTCCATGAAATCGATGTCGCTTGATTCAAAAAGACCACCGAGACTCTTACTTTACGCTATGGTGCAACTCCAAGACGGCATGTAATTGATGAGATTTTCGTGGGATGTCATACTCCAAGACCCGTCTATCCGTGGGTAACCAATGATACTGTTCGCTGAAAATAATACAAAGTGCATGCAGTTATGCAATAGCTGAGCATACTCAGTATAATTCATTTCCAGCAATTTTCCGTAAGAGTTACTTCACTCTTATATACGTGCTGTCCTCACAGGGCACGGGAATTTCCATTTTTTAAATTCTCTTTTCAGTTCCACCAATCAAAAGCTCAATTTCCCTCGACAGCAACTATATTTAATTGGTAACGCTTGATGCGCTTGTTTTATACTGATTCCAGTACTTGCCTTCCTACTCCTCACAAGATTACTTTCTTCTTTTCATCTGTTCATTTTAGATCACCTCATTAGCAAGGAAATTAACTCGTCTAACAAGATGATCAATCACTATTCAGGATCACAAAATGGATCTTCCACCAGCTCTAAATCTTCCACTGGCATTGGCTTGGGACAGATATCGCAATGAAACTGCGAATATGTCTTCGTGAAGGGTGAGAAAAATCGAATACAGATACTGATGTTGGAAAAAATAAACATTGAACTAACAGGTGGTCCACATATGCTAGTCCAAAGTACTGTTTGTCAGCATCTTTCAAGGCCACATGGCTGGCAATAATATTCAACAATTCGTGGACAGTTAATCGTGGTTGAATGGTAAGCTCCAGTTGTTGTCCATCCAGTAAATGTATTATGGAACGTTTACCATCGTGCATCTGCAACAAAATCTTCTTTAGCACTGCAATGGCTGCAGCACTGATCGTTTGTTTCTCTTTACATAATGTCCGGCAATAACAATTAATACAGCTTAATTCATTAGTTCAATTCAACTGTTGATCTGTACTCTAAGGTAACCATATAAACCTTAATGCAATAAAATCGAAATCTTTCTAATCCGTCTCTCAATACCGTCTCTGATACATAACACAAGAATTCCGGTTCATTCTAGAAAGCGCTATACAGTCTACCAGTCACTTCCAATAAATAACTCTCCCTTATACTACAGCAACAGTGCTGACAAAGTGACAACTGACAATATCGCTTTATTACTTTATTTATCTATTGGTCAAAAAGGGATAACATAGAGAGGACAGAGCAAAAGTGGACCGAAGTGCAACGTGCAAAAAAGGGACAGATCGATACCTCACTTCACAAGGACATGACAGAAAGAAATCGTGAAAACGTTACGAGAGAGAGGGAGGGAGAGAAAGAGAGAGAAAGAGGAGGAATAGAAGAAATGGACAATGAGATGAATGCTGCCGTCGATTATTGTAGCGTTGACCTTTGTCCACTGTCTTCCCTTCTGTCAACCTCTTCTGCTGTGCTTTCTTCCTATTTCCTTTAAATGTTTATAGTGTTAACAGTGCTGTGACATACATTTCCTTCCCCCTTCTTCTTCTTGCAGTAGCACAGTGAAGTTTCATTGGAATTCAATTTCGAGTGGCAGTATTTGAGGTTTAATTGGAAATTAAAGTCTAACACATATTGAAGCTGAAATTCAATCCACATTGCATTCCAAATATGAACGTAAACTGCGCTGTAATTTAGGCGCAAATGACAGGAGTTGTTCACTCACTATGGAACCAATGTATTGAGTGAGTGACCGACGAGGATGACCAATTAGGATGAGGAAGAGGAGAGGAGAGGAGAGGAGAGTGTATTTGAACTCTAAAGATATCGGAATCATTTCGCTGGAGCAGCATGGTATCTGTAGCTCCAAGAAATTTCTAAAATAACACAGTCTGGCTTTCTTCTTCCCTTCGAGGGTTTTCCGATTAGGCATTTTAATAATGCCTATGTCAAACTGTGTCAAAGGTGAAGTAGTTCGCTACGCTCATTCAAACACTTTAACATTTGCAGTTAGGAAGAAATAAAAAATGAGTCGGGATGAAAGTCGGGAGGAAATTCATTCTGAACCTGTCTTCCATGAATAATAATATTCATAAGATAACATCATTTACTGTACCTATTTCTGTACATCTCATTAAATGAGCTAATGGGAAGAATCCCGTCCGACTGCATCCTCTAAATGAAACACAAGCAAAGCTTGTCATCTTAAAGGAGTTGTTTCCAATACGGAAAACAGCATTTCCTCAGCAGTAACAGAACAATAGAAGTGCGAGCTTCCGACAAAGACGCCGTTAACCGAATTGTAAGAAATTTATGAAACTGTGGAACTTCTCGGCTTCGTGGCGCAATAATGAAAAAAAAACTGGACGTTATGAAGAAGAAATGCAAATGAAAGGGTATTTCAAATTTGATTCTCTGAAACTGTCAAAGTAAATCAAAGGCTGTTAACTGTTGGCTTATCCGGGAATAGTGACGACTCAGCAAAAAGTCGCCAATTAATGTGGCAGTCGAACAAACGGAAAATGACAGTTATCACAGTATATTTCTCTGATAATGTGGGGATTGCTTGGGAGGTGTTCTTGAGATGGTAAACTTGTCCATTGAATTGAAATGTGACGACAGATAAAATATGTCGGCCCACCTCATATCAGTGAGGGACAATAACGAGAAGGAGAGATTGCATCCGTGAAAATGCAGAAATGAGATGGTTTAAAAAAGGCCTCTTCTTGAACCACTTTTTCTTTCATCAGCTTATTTCTCATCTGTTGATCATTCGTAAAAACTAATTCCATCCTACTATATGCTACTTGTTCACTTAAGGCCTCATTTATCCTCGACAGGAAACTTGACTAGAGTTGTTTTTGCGACTACTAACACTACATTTGGAAAATCTCAAATAGTAAACAAGTAAACACGGGCCTGCAGGCGAGTGAAAGTTTGTGGTTGAAGGCATAAATTATGTCGAAAACTGGACTAGACTGATGGGGATATGAAAGGCCTCCTCCCAAAATGGTTATTCTTGAATGGATGAGATAAATTCTAAACTGGATAAGACATTTTTGGGATAGAGAGAGATGGGGAAAATGCATATGTATATGTGGACAGGAAAGTTTCCGCAACTCTCAAGTATTCCTTCATATTTATTATTTATTTAATTGCATTAATTGGAAAAAACAAGGAACTTACCGAAAGTCTATGGAATCGACCCATGGATGACCAGTGTAGTTGGATTGGAACAAACCGTTTGTGTGTATTAAGGTGAGGAAAGGGTGAGTGCGATACGTTGGAAGTGGAAATCAGTTTCGGGTAATTGATTTCAAGAGGTTGCTGATGTAGAGTTGGGGGACGACGGAAGATTGGAAGAGATGGAAGAGGAAGGTTGTCCACCCACGATAGCTGGTAACAACTACATGTCTACTCCTCAACAAAATGACAAACTATCGATGGAAGATGATCAGCCGGTAGACCCACCATACTGTTATATTGTTGCTTTCTTTTCTTCATCTGCATTAGCGCTTGCATGCATGCACTGCATCCTAATACAGGCCAACTAAGTACCGCGGAAGAAGTGGAGGGTCTATATTTCTCCCCAGTGAAATGGATTGTTGAACTTCCTTGGAATGCTTTATCGTCCAGTAATGACAGCTGTTTGAACAGCTTGTTAACGATTTTAAATTATGGTAACAACAGAGATTAAAACGTGTTTGGGCAATAACGAGAGAGGGAAGAAAAGCGGTAGAAAACTGCTGTGCTACTTGGCTTTGCAAAGTTCGTTTCGAGATAGGTTGAAACCCTTTGTTTAGGTAAGATGAATTTTCGTCTTATAAGCTAATTGCTGGGATGAATTCACCAGAGAGCATGACTCTCTCAACAGGTAGCTTATGGCACTAGCAAAGTGGCTTCCCGTGCAACAGCAATCAATTTTAATCATCTTAAAAAATCTACACACATATTAGATGTAGAGACTAATTATTTATGGTATGTCGAGGCCGAGGAGTTTGAAGTGCAGAACACCCCAATAATTAGTTGCCCATCTCAGCAGTTTCACTTTGAAATGAATCAGTAGGCAAAAAACAATATTGCTAAATACAAGTTTTGAAACGGAGAATTTTATTATGAAGAGCCTGAATCTAGGCATTTTATTTCTTAACATTCTGCTATAAATAGAAAAAGAGAATTTAGCAGCAGCACTTTGCAGACTCAGCTACAGACCCACTGTTCAATTTAAATTTCTTTTCCTGTTGTTCAGTAAAATTAGACAGTATTTAAAAAACGCTTGAAATTCACTCCACAACAGTGATCACTGGTTTGTTGCTCTCCCCGGTTTTGTCTAGTGAGAGTAAATAATTGTTGTCTGATGAAGTGGCAGGTTGGAGAATTCGCACTGCGTTTTGCATCATCTTCAGCAGGGAGGAAGTACTAAGCAATAAGCCCAGATATGGTTCCAAAGGCAGTCAAACGTTGAGGCCCATGAGTTACATTTGTATAGATTGCAGAACTTCTTCATGGTCATTCGTTACAAATACTTCCTGCAGTAAGAAGTAAGAATTTCCTCTGCGCTGGATGACTCATTTCACTCACAACAGCAATTTAAAGTTCTAATTAGAAAAGTCGGGAAGCGGAAGGTTCATATAAGTATGATAACGGGATCCTGATTTTCTAAGAAAGACCTTTTTTCACTTGCGCTTTTTGTCGTTGTCATTCCGAACTTTGGGGAAGTTATTGGATTGAAAATTGATTCTCTTCCAGAGTAGGCTAGAGATCGGCTGCAGAAACTGCGAAGTTTCAAGATTTGAGCTCATCAAGATCATGTGCCAACACGGAGAAAGAAATCTTGCATGTTCCGGTAAAATGAGGATAATCAGGGAAAAGGTGTTTAGTTTTTCAATGACCGCGAATTGGAGTTTATTTCCCTCAAATGCATGTGTGACGATGTTTTTAACTACCTTTTAAAATGAAAATTTCGTGATTGCTGACATAGTAGCTTATCGGTATCTGTGAAGATGATAGAAGAGCCTAAGGATTAGAATCGCTCACTCAATCAGTCTCAGCGATCTACTCTGGGAGACGTTAATTTTTAATTCACCAACTTTTCAAAATAGACGGATTTCTTACTTTCCTATCTGTTCGTTCAATTCTGAGTGCATTTCTGCGACAGCTTTTACTGAACTTTTTATTCATTCTAACCGAATCTTATTTGGAATTTTCGATTTTCTGATTAAATAACTGTGTTATAAATGTTTGCAAGAAACTCCGAGAAAACATTTGTTCGCTCCGCCATTCTTTTCATCAGAACGAAGAGACACCGAGACAAAGCGGATAAAAGGGAACAGCTGGAGTTAAATGAATTTTTTCCTTATTGATGCTTTCATGTTAGCGACACGTCTGGCACAAAGTTGGATGCTGATGATGAGGTTGGAGAGAAAATTGGAAGACATGAGATGATGTTATGCAAAGGGTTGGGTCGCCATATCGGTCAAAGAAAGTTTCATGTGAAGGAGTTTTAGCAAAACGTTCGCATCAAGTAAATTATTTCGAATAATATAGTAAGAAATATCGTGTAGTCCTTCTGAAAGATCAGTGATAACAACATATCGTTCCAGAAAGTCGTAAGTGGCTTTATTGAGATAGAAACATTTCTTTTCCTTGGGTGTCATCAAAATTTTTGAACTTTTCGAAATTGAAAACATCTTTTCCCACTCAGACTTAGTGTATTCTTCTCGGCATTGCAGTAATACCGGCGAACACTAAATTCACTTATTCTACATCATCTTCCCTTCATTTTATAATTTATTATCTGCCAACAAGCAATACAGATAACTTTCATACAGAACTTCGTACGGTCTTTCGGCATATTTAGCGGGCAGTTCCAAGTACAGGTGTATTCTCACTTTCTCCATTTAAACGGTTTACGATTCTTTCTGCTCACCGTTTCATTTCCATAAATTTCCGCTTTCCGAAGGATGGGTGGGTGCGATGGTGCTCGATTTGTCTCAAGACTTGCATTGTTTCTTGGAAAAGCTGACTTTTAACTTAGTAGACATAACTGTTCACTTCATTTCTTACGCATACGCGAGTGACCGTGTGGAAGTAAGTGTAAGTAATTTTTATTATGCCAATTTTTCCATTTTCAGGAGGCTTATTTACGTTGATATGAATGAAGTGTAAGTGGGAGATTGGTAAAAAAGGAGGAGGGATTGAAAGTACCTATGGTGTGACCTATGGTCATACGGAGCAGATCTGATGCTTGCCTGATCACAAAATGCATTGTTGTCCGGAAGGACAGAGAAGCACTGAGGGATGCGCGCTGCGTCCATGAATGCGGTCGTCATGCGACAGCCTGTGCACAACGCGGCCGGCATATCGTCCAGACAGGCAGTAGGAGCAGCAGCTTCTGTAAATAAAAGACGACCAATATCCGAGAGTGGCACTGAGTCATTCATTGAGCAAATGTCCCGCCAAAACTCTGACTCGCCGCCAGGTGTGGGGGCGTCGTCCGAGGAGCCCTCCAAACCTTCCCTTCCCTCCTCCTCTCCACCTCCACTTCTCCCACTCTTCCAACCCTGTCCACTTATCTGTTGCTGGCGGGTCACAGTCTCCTCACTCAACATCCTTCCCCGTCGTCGTTGGACTCATCTATCCAAGCACTTCTTTCTCCGGAAAACCGATCTCCCCTCCTCGAAAATAGCTATTCCGTCTTTCCAACTCTTCAGTAAATTCCCGCTTCACCACCATCCACTTCGCCAATCTCACCTTATATTTCAAACACCGCTCTCGAATCCGCCTCATTTTCTGAACATATTTAAAATCAAAAAGCTCACGCTGCCAACCGTGTTTGATTTTCACCAAGTTAATAAATTTGAACTTGAAGATGTTACGAAGTTGTGAAGTCGTAGATTTTAGCCAACATTTTTGCCTTAATTCAAACTTCATAATAAAAAGACATTTTGTTACCTGACTGCTTTAACCAAAATACAATTCAGCCGGCGTAACTGATAGAGTGCCTGTTGTCACTCAAATTTGCAATGGCTCAGTAATTATAATTCAAGGTTTTCAAGGTTACTTGAATACCTTTTCATTTCGAACACATGATCTATCCACCGACCAGTCATCCATCTCCGTGACACTTTCAATATTGGCTTTCCCCATCATCCACGAGATTTACTGTACTGGCTATATAGTGTCACTACTGCATTCAGTAGCCGCCATCTGCATGAAGTAGGACAAGTGAGATTGATTTTCACTGGTATCTTTGCAGTATGTAGTTACCATGTTGATCGATCTCCATTGTTCGCGTTCACGTCACTCTTGATAACTGATAGCCAGATAACTGGTCCAATGGTCAATCCTGAACAGGCTACCAATTCTGTTAGATAACAAGAATCTGATAGTCTGTTTTCAAGAATTCTCCTTGCACCACTTTATGATTATCACTTCAGGTATCCGTGGTAGGTGTTAGATCTGAATGTGAAGAACGTTCGTTCCACCGTCCACAAAAGATCTCTTGCCCTTGAACTAACGGTAAACAGGTATTGAGGAAGTAATTTCGGGACATGTTTGCGGAAGTTCCATAGGTGAACAGTGCCATATGGTGCTGATGTGCAAAGAGCGAGCACCACTAATTACTGACATCGCATGACTGGTTGGGATTGTGAACTCCTTTTCATGTGACACATTGTTGCTGTATTCATTGGTGTCAACTCAGTAGAATTAGAATAAGTTAATAGTTGGAAAGCATGGATGGTTGGGAAGTGAGAAGTGAGGAATTCATGACAGATAAGTAGCAGCGTATCCACAAATTGTTTTCATGCTCTTTCCAACATTTGTGCTTGTTTGTTAGTCTAAAAGATTTTTTCACTTATTTCGTTGCATACTAACTCTGAGAACAGAATGACGGATTTATGCAATTTCGATTATTTTCGTTGTTTATTGAAACTTTTAACTTCATTCTTACGCTTTCGTCCAATTTTCTCACTTGAACAAAATAAGCAGTTTTTTTGCTCGGAATAGCTGATGCTGAAAATATTCCCATAAAATTCTAATTTACGCTAAACCTCGGATATAGTTTCGGTGCATTGAAACTTTTATGAAATTAGCGAAAAACATCAAAAACATGGGATATTGCTGAGCAGTTCCTTGTATGCACACCAGTCCAACTGAGCGATGGGAGTGCTCATCCAATCTCTTCATCAATCGTTATCCACAAACACTACTGATTGTATGAGTGTTGCACAGTGGACCAGTCAAGGTGTTGTGGTCGGTTAATGTTTTGAACGTTGGAAGTGTTAAGTGTTTGAACTGACTTCCTTTCTCTGAGGGGTCTCTCGGGCTTCAGGGTAGGTCCCCAATTTCTTCTTTAAAAGCTGTGGGGAAAGAATAAGACTTGGACTGGAGTGCTATTCGTCAAAATTATTGCTGTGTGGAGTCAGACTGAAATTCCTGGGAGATTTTGCATTTATTTATTATTAGCATCACTTTTGTGAGAGCAATCGAGAACTGCTTAGCACTATGACTGAACATTTGCAGGAATTGATACGGTTGAAAATGTACATGTGCATCATGTGCAAGAACTGAAAAGGCTTGGCAAGTTTAAAAAAATAGGGAAAAAATTTGTGGAAACAGGAAATATTTGCAGGATAAAACAAGGCAAAGGTAGATCTATTGTATAAGTTTAGGATTTCCTTTTTCGTTGATTTTTTTTCTTTTCAGATGGATATTGGTAAACTTTGGATTTCGTCAATATTATAAGTGTATTGTGGGTAATCGATTTGAGACGTCAATATGTCCAATAAGCCCCTGGTTCCTTTTTATGGTTTTTTTTTAGTTTTGAAGATATGAAATTTATTTCATCAAATGTATTTGTATCGTTTGTCTTGGTATTCTGTCCATTTCGAGTACTATAAAAAAGTTATTTTCTTTTTCTTGAGCGTATCACTAAACAACCAGATATCAAAGAGTGACTGATGAATTTCCTTCGTTTCAATTTAATCCATTCGGAACCTTTATAGCCAATTTTTAATCGGTTTGGTGTTGGATACTGTCGTAATATCTTTCGCTGGCTACGTTACAACTTTTTTTTTAAACTGCATAATACGGTGAACGATGTGGAATGTCTGGTCGACACGTAAGTTTGTGTCAGATTGAAAGACATACACATATAAATAATTTATATGTAGGTTCATTATCGCAGTGAGATGCTTAACGTGCTTTCTGGAGAGCGGTTTTATGAATTTGTGAAGAATGGTCAATCTATCAAGTAGAAAGAGATCAAAATTTGGACAAACTGATAATTTTGTACGTAGAAAGGGATCAAAATCTGGACAAACTGATAATTTTGAACGTCTATTTGTACTTCAGACGTGGAAGTGGATTTAACCTGAAAGCAACATCCGTTATTGGTTTATTATTTGGGAGTTTTCATTTGTCGTTGATGCGCCCTTCGGACAAGTACCGAAAGTAATTCATCATTTCATCTGTGTCATATTTAGTTAGACAGTGAGATATGGATGAAGAAATATATATTGTTCAATTTTGTTTTATTCCAGATAAGCAACTTCAACCTGAAAAAAGCATTTAATTGATTTCTCTTTACTTTTGAAGATGTTTTTAGCTCTGATATTATATGCAGTGAAGGAACTGAATCGGGGAGAACCCATCAACGTTCCGAAACCGTAGGACAGTTTTCAGAAGTGCTGGAAGATCACAAGGAGAGTTATGTGGCACGAGTTTTGAAAACAAGTTATTTTTTTATGAATCCGTCGTATGCTTACTGTACATCATGTATTATATTTAGATAAACTGCTTTTCAGCAATGTTCATAGAAATTAGCTTTCCAAGTAGAATTTTTTGATTATATATTGGAACCGCTTTCACGTAAAAATCAAATAGTTTAGAAATTTTTTCAGCTGTGGAGCGGTCGCTGATATCACTGATAAAGAGTGCTACGGCAAAAGTAAGGCTTGCTATGAGCAGTAGTGGTTATCAATTATCACATGGAACAAAACATAATTCAATTGTAAGTCTGTAATTGTGAAATTACCAGTTTCCATCGTTATAAAATGAGCTGTTGTTTTGCTTTTCAATTTAAATATAAAGAATGTCATTTCTATTAAGAAATGATATTACTTCAGGAAGATGTTGATGAAAGAAAAAAGGAGGAAAATAATGCTTTAGATGATCTGGTTAAAAAGGCCGTTGCACGGAAGGAATTAAATAAGATCATCAGGGTGAGTCAGTTTTTAATTTTTGCAACTGTTAATTCGGCAATTTGAATTGCTTCCATAAACGTATTTGGGTAGGTGAGACTAGCAAGGATAAGCACTATTTTGCGAATTTAAACAGCTTGTAAAGCAATGAACGCATTAGCGTGTGCCAAACACTGACTAAAACTTTTTCTGGATAATAATATGGGACGAATATAACAAATTTCTTATAACAATTAATAATGAAAGGAGAAAAAACAGAATGCGGACAGCTAGATGCCTCATGTCGCCTCTATGTGAGAACGAAAGTAAGGGAAGCAGGTAGTGTGGAGCTGGAACATCTGTAAAAAATGACTAATAAAGTACCAATGTTAACGGTGATTCCCTCTTGTCTTTACTTTGCTTTCTCGTGTTCTGCTTTTTTTACTTATTTTAGTCCATTCGTTTTTTAGAAGAATATGCACTGAATCTTAAGTCCTAGATCAAAACCCCTCATAATTTTTACACGATTCATTTATTTTTGACTTAATAATATTATCCTTTGTGAGATATATCACATTTGATTTCGAAACAAAAAAGAATGGTCCAGAGCAATCTTCTGTGCTCACTGTGTTAAACTAGTGATAATTTGTATTATGATTCGTTGATTTTTTTTTTCAGGTAGTCAATATTGGACGCGAAGAAGAGGAAATTCGCGATCATCCGTTGCTTACTATTGCTGAATCGACAGCGCATTATTTGATGAGACAGATGGATGACGTTGAAGCCTAGATTCTTTTAATGTTCAACGAACTAAGTTTTTTTTGTGAGCATGAAAAGGCTCACAAAATGAATTGAAAAGATATGCCAGTTTCAGACAGCATATCTTTTCGATTCATTAATCACTGTTGTTGTGTTGATTATGTTAGGTTGTATTATTCCATATTTCATTCATTCATTTGTTAAATAAGGAATGCGTTTTTATTAATTTGTAAAGAAGTGCGACTCGTGATTAAATTTCGAAAAAAGAGGTAAAGTGCACTTTTTTCTATAAATCGTTAAAGACGTCTAATAGCAAGTTTTTTTATGTTAAATAATTGGTTTAGTCATTCTTCTTGTGATCCTGAACTTTGTTTTGTGAAAACGAGAAGCAGTAAGTGGAATTCTTACATTTTTTAATAGAACTTTTGATTTCAGTAATTTAAGTTCTGCATAGATTGTGTAATAAAAATGGTATGTGGTCTTGTGTGATAGCAACAAGGATTTAGGTAGAGGTGGGATTCATCAAGAATGGGCACATTATAGGTGATGGTAGTATGGGTGTTCCTTGTGTTATTGGGAGACATTCCCGTGTCTGGCATTAACACACACAGCATGTAATGCGGGTAGCAACGGTTCAGCTTGATGGAGCATTATTCTTGCAAATCTATTTGAACGAAAACTCCGTCTTTTGTGTTTGGTGTTTTCTGACGATATTTCGCATCCAACCATGCAAAGAGACGTGAGATGAGTTGTATGGTGCACTGTTTTCCAAAATTGATAATGAAATATCTAACATAGTGAAATAATTTGTGGTGACGATGCTGTTATTATAGTCCAAAGCGAGAGCAACCACATAAGCTGCATACTCGGACCCTGCGACTGTGTATATAAATGGTCACACGGATGATATAGATTTTGAGTTTTCAATCTGATAAGCAACACCACTTGTTGTAAGGAGTACATGTTAGGGAGACTGTACGGGACGGCATGTTAGTATGTTAGAACTGAAAGCATTTATTTCAGAAACTTGGCAATAAATTTGTTCTCTCAACGCTGATAAAATATTGCTTCATTTGATGTATCTTTGCACATATTCTTACACCCGCTAAATGGATTACGAAATTTCCAAATCAGCGGAACGCATTCCGCTGTCATCTTATCGAGTACTAAGTAAGCGACTGAATTTAAATTCCGCTGGTCTTGTGAATTACATCGGTTTTCTGGTCGCGCTCGTATGTGGTTTTATTTTTGGAAAGTAAGTTTGCATTTCTCCTTCATCACTTTTGATCTTGTATTGGTAATGGAAGAATTAGCTGTTTCAGATATATGCAAGAGTTACATGAGACGAAACTTTGGTTTTCGCATATCGAGCAAGTTGAACAGGAGATATCATTGAGGACTGAAGCTGGTCTTTATTATTTCTACTATAAGTTTGCTGTTCATCCACAGATGTCATTTAATAACACAATTTATGCACTGATGCATGATAACAGGTAAGTATAGTATCTCATTAGTCTCTGCTAGATCTTGGACAACAAGTAAGGAAACATGAAGTGCAAAACTTAGATTCAAGATATCTAGTAGATAAGTATTTGATTACTTCATTTCAGCACTGAATTCCCTCGTCAAATTAACGTACTCGAACGGTTCAACGTTTATCAAGAGTTGATACTCGCTGTTTTATACAAATTTTTTGCATCGTTCCGATTGCTGCGGGATTACTATTTACCTAAACCAATCCTATTTTATGTCTATTCATGCTTTGCCTTTGCTGGATTCGGCGTTACAACACTGTTTCTTCTTGTTTGGACTCTAACCGGAAGGCATATCATTTTCTCTCACTTCCTTCTTTTTTTTTTCTTTTTTTACAGTCTCCATGTCTGCAGACGAGATTTCGAAAATATTCAGCTGATTCAAATGAAAAGTTTTCAGCTGGCTTTATGGAATGCTTGTTTTTACATGGATGCTCACAAACATTGATGATAGCACTCGGGTTTTCTTTACTGTTAATTTGCGGGAAAATTTTGCATTGCCGTTTTTCTGGTTGCAAAACGCGTGCATTGTTATGGTGCTGCGGTTGTCTAATGTTGCTTGCATGAAATACTATTGCATCTTTTTCTTCTCCACCTTTCTATTTGCTTTATTTTGGCAGTTTAATCAGGTAACTTCTCTGTGTTTCATGTATCTTTTTGCTGTATAACAATCCTAATAGTTTAATCAGTATGAAATGTCGCAATTGCAAAATAAGAACAAAATGAAGGGAGTTGTAGTAGTTATTTTTGGTGTTGCTACATGGTGAGACTGGTGAGACCGATCTCTGTGGTATGACTAATTTTAATATTAATGCCGAAATAGAGAAAGTGCTTTTAGGGCCACTGCAAGGTTACAAGGATATAATAGTAGAAGCTTTGTGATATGCTATAAAAGGTCAAATTTTGAAATAAAAATCAAGAAAGTGTAATTGAAGGGAAAGATTGGGTAATGAGTCATGTTTGAAACGCTTGTGGAGTATGATTTTTTCATCCAATTTTTCGTGAAGGCTCTCCAGTAGATTAAATTATAATTGAATAAATGAGCTTCTTGAAATTTTGAAGGTAGGATATCTTTTTGAGGTCGATAATATCGTATCAGTTGCAGTTCATCTTGGTGCTACAGTCGATATCTCTGGTTGGAATTAGTCTGATTATACCTCGTCTATCATCCACCGTTATTTTGTTTCTCTTGCTGCAATCACAAGCATTTTTCTTGGTTGTATTAGTTCAGTTTGGCCAGCCAATAAATATTGCTTCCATTTGCACGGCCTTTAATTTAAGCTCAGTTGTGATTCTTCGTTTGACAACCAAAACTGAAAGGTTTTTTGCCGCTTATCTAGTAGATACAATCCTTTTATTGACAGTGAAAGTCAGTGTATGTTAACACGGTTATTTCCAGTATGTCTCCATTATCTCATTGTTTCTGCTAATTCGTTTTATTTTCATTTATGACAAAGTTACAGAAGTCGAATGAGTATAATATTGCTGAAGTCTGTTTATATCATTGCATTAACGCTGTCGCTAAATTGGTTTATTCGTTATCTTGTGGGTGCTGAAGCTGACACCCATGTGTGGACTTTTGTAAAAGCAAAAATTGGTTTAATTTCCAGGTAGTTACATTTTCTTATATTTGACAAACAATTCTATTTATTTTGTTCCTGATTTACTATAGATTTACACAAAATGTAATCATAATGTGAAGGAGACTGAAAATAATGACAAAGATAACAATTAGCTGAAGTTGGATAGTCGAATAATTCAGTAATATTGTGTTTGAATGCAAAAAATATATATTGAAATATTAATAATTATAACAATATTGTACTAGCTTTTCATAAACCTTTTCATGCAACGATTACTAGCTTGTAACTTTGCTAAACTAGTCGCTCTAATTTTAGAAAAAATTAGCCATATTTAGGTCCTCAGTACCCTTTGAAAGTGCATTGTATTTATGCCATGGAGCTTTCGCTTATCTCGATAGTGACTTCTTTCGGCGAACATCGCTGAATGGTTGCTTCCCGATGTTCACAGCAGCAATACTCATTGTTACTGTTATGACGATATATTCGGTTGCACTGCAATCCTGTGATCGAGGATCTGGTACCGTCATTATTAGTTTAAATAAAAGAATGCTCTAGTTTGTTGTGTGGTTTGCATAAATTCTTTCAGTGCCTGCATTTATCGATCATTTTGGGCCAGAAATGATTTTTATCGTCATTCAGTCAATATTATGTGGAATAATTGCTGTTTTTACTCTTCGAATGAAGTACCTTTGGTTCCCGCAAATTGCCCTTGTTGCCTGCATCTTACCTGTTATGTAAGTAAGGCTCAATTCTGCCTCATTGGATTACAATATTCCACCGTACTAAAATACGTGTAGAGAATTGATTAAATTTATTTGGAAATGTTTTAATGAATGGTTGTGTATCTGTAAGATGCTCAAACAACTGCAATATTGGGTTGCGGTTATTTGAGGAAATATGCAAAAAATGTTAAATTCTAAGAAAAAATAGCAGACAAATAATGAATGCAAATAGTTGAGCAATTTTGTTGAGAACAGAAAATATAGGCTGATATCTTCACTACTTCAGGATTTCGAAGTGCTCGGGACGATTTGTTGTTCAAGTGGCAGTAATAGCTACAATCACAACTCTGCTATACAATCATTATGGTATTTATAAGGAACAGATGGCGAATGAACAAGTATAATTCGCGAGTTTTATTTATATATATTTCTTGCAGACATTCTCACCTTATATGGAAACTTTATTTCGGGATAATTTTTATTGTAAACTGAACTGTGTGCGTGATGATTAGAAATTTAGTGTCAGTTCAGGAATTTTATGATCCCGATACTGTTGCTTTAATGGAATGGATCAAAAGGTCAACGCAACCTTTAACGTCATGGGCAGGAAGTATGCAGCTGATGGCTGGAGTAAAAGCTTGCACAGGAAGATATTTGGCTAATCATCCACACTTTGAAGATAAGTGGTTGCGTGATCGGACATTACAGCTTTACCAGGTTAAATATTTTACGAGTCTGATGTAAAGTTCTGAATTTGCTTCTTTAAAATATTTGAAATATGTTTTGAAAAAAGAATAACTGATTCATCATTCGTTCCTGTGCTAAAATTTTTTTAGATGTATGGTCGAAAAACTCTCGCTGAAATGCATGAAATTTTAACAGTTCATAAGGTAGACTACATTATATTGGAAGACAGTATATGTCTGGCCACCTCAACAGGATGCTCAACGAAAGACCTGGTGGATGTTGCTAATGATGATATACCCGAATATGCCATGTCAAAAAGTGAGATTTGATTACATTTTGGTGTGACTATGCATATAAATTATAAAGAAAATTGGTGCAGTTTTTTTTTGAAAACTCTGGTATTTTTCACTAACCTACGCATATTTAGATAGAGAAGAAGAAAAATCCTGGAAAGCTATTCACTCCTTAAATTCTGTTGTAGAATTGAAAAAGTTGATATGATGTACTACATTTTTTTCCATTAAAAGATGGAAACTTATAGAAACATTAGCATGATTCACAAATTTGGCATTCTGTATTATCGAATATTATATTGCAGAAATAGATTCAGAGAAGCGGTTTTGTGATCGAATACGCTATGCTGATGATGAAACGGAACTTTATTTTAAGCTAGTATTTGAAAATCCCACCTTCCGCGTTTATCAAGTACTCGGCAATGGCTAAATTTTAATGTGATTTTATGCTGGACAAGTTTGAGGGATGGAAGACTTTTCAAAGTGAAAATTTTTAAGAGATATGTAAATGCATTAAAGAAAGTTTTGAATGCTTTCCGCATAGTTCTGTTGTTTTTTAGGATTTCGATATTTAAAACATGATGTATTTTTGAGTTTGTTTCAAATAAATACTTGAAATTTAGACTATTTTTACTTGTAGGGTGAGCCCGTAAATATCTCCTACAAATGAAAATTTGGAAGTTAAGCTTTATTTGCTTAGGTTTATAACAGGATTGAATTTCCAGAAAAAAATATAGGCTGCAAAAGTCTCCATTTAAACATATTTTCTGAAAATTCAATGAAATCAAGTCCTTAGGAGCAGCAACGGGTCTGAAGGCGTAAAAAGATTAATCAAAAGGCATATGAATGGAAAATATCTCTGGGAATTGTTTATTCACTTCCGTGTGCGCTGGCCATTTATAAAAGAAGCATCATTAATCAAATGAGGCCTAATGGTCAAATGAAGTAATCTTTAAATTGTTGATAACTTGTACAAATGGATACCGAGTAGCTACAATCTGATCATACTGAGTTTGCAGTTGCTATCAAGAGCTATATAATTATTGGACGGGGAATATGTTGAATCCTGCTATGAGATGCTCAGATGTTAAGAGTAATGATTAGTGTGTTGTTAACAAGCATAGATCTATTTAACATTGTATAGAATTCTTTTCATCTTATCTCTGTTTGAAAATTACATTTTTTGCATTATTTAAACTGGGTTCAGCAAGATGTATGAGAAAGTCGTTTTTGTGAATTGAGCTAATTAACCATGTGTTTTTTTAAAGCCATATACTTTTCTGGGAGCCACTTTCCATATTTTCCTTGCTTTTCCTTTTTTTTCGATGACTGAAAGGATGCAATCAAAACGCCTACTTAAACCGAATATAAAAAGTCAGAGGTTATCATGAGAAAGCCTTTAAATCCTCATGTTATTAAGTTTTAAAGCAGCGATGGAATTGGAATAATAGCAGCTCTTCCCTGCACAACAATTCAAAAGTTCAGGACAGTGAGAAGTTATTACTGAGCGAAGCTAAGTGTCAAATGGTGGAAATATATATGGCACAGGAATGGTCAACTGGAGAGATATGTAGAAGAGGATGGGAGCTGACACGATCATTCGGCTCTTCTAATCTTCTGCCATCTTATCGGACTTTCAGGCTTTCCATCTTTGTGAAAAAATGGTAAACCAAACTATTGGCTGACAAAATGAAAGGTCCTCGAAAAGATAACAATGTAAGACAAATTATTCATACATACCAAATATATATGAGAGAAAGAGGGTAGGAAGTGTGGAGGTATGATAAAACGAACTTACGGTTCAGGAAAAGGATGAAATAGGAATTATGGGGAATGTTTCATGCAACAAAAACTGCCGTGCTCTTTCTGTCCATTATTTTTCAGGAAGCTAGAGTTACGTGTAAACCGCTCTTTCCGTATCATAATTTCTTGGATCATTGCAATGATTTTCTTCAATTCAGCTAATTGGAATATTTTTCGAAATTTCATAATAAATTTTTATGACAAAAGGAAGTAGAACTCTTCACGTTAAAGTCAACAACCAATTGCGATCACTACGGAAAAGGCAAAAGTGTTCGCAGTACTGCCAGTCCGGCAAAGCTGAAAGATTTAATCTCGCTAAATAATTAAATAAATATTTGGAAAGACGAGATATGGAGAGACATTGATTTAAATCTACAAAAAGGAAATCTGGTATCTGAGAAGTATCGATAAAAGTATTAGTGAATCAATTTGAACCTGCAACCTGCAACCTGCCACCAGTGCCCACCATGACATATTGCACCTGCAAGCCTCACTTCTTTTCGCTTTTTCCTGGAGCACACGAAGTTTCTACCTACCTACTCATTCATTCATTGTTCCAGTAGTAATTTTCATTTGTACAAATTAGGTAGGATGTTGTCGCTGTCGCTGGGCGATTGAATGAAGAAAATAAGGACATAAAGGAGGCAATAAAGACCCGTAAACCCACTTAATTTCGATGTCGCCAAATTAAGATGACTCGCCAATGTATTCATTGTTTTTCGGCTATCTTTTCAAAATGTGTCTTTGTGGAAGAGCCTGGTGTATACAGACTCTCGGATGTATACGAATAAAGAGCAGTGCAGATTCAGTATAGCATCTGAGGCCACTCACTTCATTTCCATTCAACTAAAGTTAGCTGTGCATTTTGAGAGGAAGATCACATATTCGCCACTCCTTTTCGGAAGAAAAAAATGAAGAATGAAGAATTCCTAACTGCAAGAAGTAAATGGATTGCAGTTTCTGACCTCATTTAATTCTCCGACAAGTTGGGAAACCGTGTCTCTTCAGCTTTTTCTGTATGATGCAAGATGATCTAATTCTTATACCTTCAGCCGAGTTTGGAAGTTTAAAGACTCAGTTCATTTCTGGAGAACAGCATGACTTGCCTACAATACAGCATGCCTGTAATTGTTAGTTCCAGACAACTTTCGGACACTATTAAAGTTTTCCTGAAAGTTTACGATATGCAAAAACTAACATTGACATTTAAAGTTATATTTCACAAACAACAAGAATGTTAAAATTTTGGTATGTAATAATTGTCAGCACATATGAAAAATACACTACAAATACAATACAGTTATCTTCATCCACTGTTGCTGCTTAAATTAAACAAATGCCGTTCATATAATTATTAATTGAAAATAAACTTTATAAAAATTTTGAAATGTTTAAACTTGCAATTCATTACGACAAGCTTATCGAACGTTTCTGGCAAATATCACGAAACTCTCCTTCCAGTACACCTAAGAAGAGCAACAATAGCAGCAGCAGGAACAGGAACAGGAACAATATCGCATAATCATCACAGGGGCTGCACATCGAGGTAAGGATACATAGAAATGCGGGGATAACACAACGGCAATGCTGGAAGCAGTCCATTGAGATAAGGATCGAATGGAGGATATGGTTGAACAGGAGAGCTAACTAATGAAGAGTTACTTGATGAAACTGACAATTTAGAACCAAAGTCTAAGCATGACGTGTTGTCGGAAAATGTCAATGAAGAAGAAGAAGAGGCAGATGATGACAATATACCATAATCGTTGTCGTCAACTGCTGAGATGGTACTCGCACTTTCAGAACGGGATTCCTGTGTTACTCTCTTTTCAGGATTCAATCCTTCCAACATCACTTGTAAAGCTG